CGTAGAACGATTCATCGTCATTTTGCTCCACATTGCTGATTTGCTTTTTTAGAGATGAGGAGACAGAGGCGGGATAGTACCTTTCGAGGAAAGCTTTTTTCATTGCCGCCCACGTGCCTATACTTCCCGAAGGAAGATAGAACAGCCAATCCTTTGCGGTGTCCTTGAGTGAGAATGGGAAGGCCCGCAATTTGATTTGCTCCTCGGTGACTCCATTAGGACACATGCTTGTGCATACGACATGGAATTCCGAGAGGTGTTTATTTGGATCTTCCCCTCTTAAGCCATGGAAGGATGGCAAAAGATGAATGAGCCCAGATTTCAGCTCAAATGTATTACCCTCGTTGAGTGTAGGGAAGGTAATACACAACGGTTGTTGGTTCAAGTTCGGAGCTGTGAGCTCCCTCAAAGTTCTTGTTTCTTGAGTCATAGTGCTTGGCTCTTCAGATTCGCTAGAACTAGAGCTAGCGTTTGAGGATTCCTCCGAGGGTATGTGCAGAATTAAATTTCTCAACCTCTCGAAGGCTTGTTCTATTTCGGGGTTTGCTTGATAAGTGATTTCGTTTATAGAACGATATCGGACCATATACTTCACAAAGCTCAGAAATAGAAAAATAAGAACTCTTTATATTTTTGGTTAATTAAACATTTTTTTGATTTTTCTTGAAATAGTGGTAAGTATTCCCGCCTGTCACGCGGGTGACCCGGGTTCGATCCCCGGCAACGGCGCCAAATTTGACGTGCACTTGTCGTGAGGTGCACTCAAAATAAATATCAATACCACAAATATACGTAGTATATTGAAGTAAGGTTCGTATCCACAGGGAAAGGAATACTTTTCTTCTTATAGAGACAATTAAGTAATAATAAAGGGGGGGGGGGGGGGTTATATTTGGTTGATGAACTTTAAATTATATTTAACACGAAGATGAACGAGTTATGTAGTTTAATTAATGAGAAGAAGGCTTGGCTTTGCTTTTATCCACTTAATGAAATGTTCGTCGATCCCGGTTATATCTTTAACTATCTTCCTCTCGAATACTCAATCGAGGAGTATATCCAATTCATCGAGGGTAGTTATTAATAACGAGACGCGTTCATTAATAAAACTTACTACCGAGTCAATATAGAACACGCGCCGTATATTTACTTGGTAGTAGCAATAAAATCAAGATGAAAACGATTGAGATTGATAACCTCAACACAAGCGGTTTATCGGTTTAATCAATATAATTAATTCCCCTTGGCTTACTAACCATGAGACGCATGCATTAGCAACCCAAGTTTACTACCGTGAAAGGACCGAGTTAATAACAAGCGTATTAATCGACCGATTCTAGTATTAATTAATATATGAAACAAAACTAGTTGATCCTTTAAGTATTGCTCAAAATAGTAATATGTAATAGGAATAAGAATTAATTAATATTCAAGGAAGAAGATCAAAGAAAATAACTCACAACTTACAATTCATTAAGCTTCAACCAAGATAGAAGAGTTTAGCTCCTCATTTGGAGACTAAACATGATAAAAATATAAAGAAAGAACTTGTCTAGACTGAGCTTAGAAGTATATAGGAATTGGTGGTCTTCTTGTGGAGGAAATGGGGTGTATTTATAGGCTTTTTAGGCCTGCAGGGTCGTGTACCCGATCGGGTTTTCAGCCCACTCGATCGGGTACAAGATGTGGCTTCGTCGAAGCTGGAAAATGGGGTCATACCCGATCGGGTCTGTCGGTCACCCGATCGGGTATGGACACCCGAACGTGTTAAAATCTTCCCGCATGATGCCTTGTTCCCGGATTTGATTTGATTCGAAATTTCAGAAGGGTACCCGACCGGGTATAGGTCATACCCGACCGGGTACAGACCAAAATCGAGATCTTCCATTTTTTCTTGCATTCTTGCACCTTCCTTGCACTTGTGATGTTCACCAATGGTCTCCAAAGTGTACTTGGACCTGTTTGAGCTCGGAATAAACCTAATCTAAACATATTACAAATATTTTACAAACTAAACTATTTACACCAAAAGTGTGTAATTTCCAAAGTAACAATCACTCGAAACTAATTAAAAGCACAAATTTAAATATGGAAATTACATGAATGTCACCTAGATATCCCAGATCTATGCGTACTTGTGACAAGTATAAGACAACAGAAAAGTCCACAAAATTCTTTAGTAACGAGAAGAGACAATTGCAGAGAATTAATATATTATGAAATAGTTCAAAGTCCACGAGATATTTAAAGTTTGGAATATTTAAATTATTTTTCATTTTCTAAAAAGTGGGATATCTTTTGTTTTTGTACTCCAATTTTTATAAAATATATATATTAAAATTCAAATTCATGACTTTTATACGTAGTAGTATTACATACATAAGTTTTCAACCGCCGAAGATTTTTAGGTCCATTTTCTATAAAAGTTGATCCATGTGCTAAAATTAAGATTCATGGTTAGTTTTTTCATATCTTTAAGTTGTTTTAAAAAATGGGCCTGAAGTAACAACAACAAAATTAAACTCTAATTTTATTTATCTATTTATTTATTTTTATATCGGAATATTTGACTTTTAAATCATACTTTGCACACAATTGTTTTTGGAAAATATGATGTATAATACGCAGTAAAAAGTAAGAATTTAATTAAAAGATTGTGTGAGTAAGTATAACAAAATGTGTCTCATTTGGCCTCTATTAAAAAAAAAAAAAAATCCTATGTGTGGGTAAATATACTGACAATGCTGGACCGTAGAAGAAAATATAATTAATTTATTCATTAGTGAAGAATTTGATTTATGATGTTTTTAATTGGATTATAATTTTCTAGTTGATTTATTTTGAATTATTCTGAACCGGTCCTATAAGTTTCTTTTTACAAAGTCTCTCAAAAAAGGTTTAAATATGCTTTTAGTCCCTGCAAATATAATACATTTTGTTTTACATCCCTGCAAAATTATTTTTTTATTTTTCGTCCCTGCAATTTAGGTTGGTTTTCTTTTTAGTCCATTACCGATGATGACATTCATGACAATCGCTATTTGACCTCAAAATAGCCCCGATCAATAGATCTCCTCTAATTCTTTATCATGTTATTAAAAAAGTATTTAATTTTATTTTTTAGACAGTTTTAATATATATTTTTAAAATGTGAATACTTAGTTTTACATTGTTTTAACTCTCATATTAGCCTCAAAAAATTATAAAAGGAAGAATTTAAGGGCCTGTTTACTAACAAAGATATTTTCCAGTTTTTCAGAAAACTGGAAAACTGGAAAACAGCAAACAGGAAACGTGTTTACCAAAGAAATTGCTGGAAAACTGGAGAAAGGGAAAAAGAAAAACGCGTTTACCAAATCGTTTTCAAAACGGAAAAAATGAGACATGTCTCTCTTTTCCTTAATGATTTGGAGAAGTGACTTTTACAAGTTTTCTAAATTTGGAAAATGCAGATGCTATAGTGTCGCTGCAATGAACTTGCATACTTACACCTAGTGGTGCGTCCGGTCCCGCTCTGATGTCGATTCCATTCCGGTACCTCCATCTTTGTACCTTACCCCTTACCCCTACCCTACCCTAACCCTACCCACCCCGCGTACCCATTTTTCCCTATAATGACCCTACCCCACCCCTACCACATGCCCCTACCTCGGCCCCACCCCGATCCACCATACCCTAACCGCCACCCCCCTACCACCTCGACCCACCCTAACCCCCACCCGTAATTACCCCTTACCCCTTACCACATGCCCCCTACCTCGGCCCCACCCCACCGCCATCCTACCCCCACCCTTCCGCCATCCTACCCCACCACCAACCTACCCCTCACCCTACCCTTCCCCTACCTCGGCCCCACCCTACCGCCATCCTATCCCAACTCCCTACCCTACCCCTACCTTACCCTAACCCTACCCACTGCCCCCACCCTTACCGCCATCCTGCCCACCACCCTACCCCTTCCTTACCTCGGCCCCACCTTACCGCCATCCTATCCCAACTCCCTACCTTACCCCTACCTTACCCCTACCTTACCCCAACCTTACCCACTACCCCACTCTTACCCCTAACCACGACCCTAACCCACCCACTACCCCCACCCAACCCCTTAACCCTAGACCTTACCACCCCACCCCGACCATACCCCTCACCCCACCCCCACCCATAACTTCCCTACCCCGACCCCTACGAGTAGGTATGGGTGGGTATGAAGGGTTGTGGGGGAGTATGGGTAGAGTGTAAGATCGTGGTAAGGGTAGGGGTCAAGGGTGTGAAATTGGAGAACTGAGTGAAAAAATTGATGAACATGTTTTCAGATTTAGAAATGGAAAACAAAAAAATAGAAACAGAAAATTGGAGATAGAAAAACTGAAAAATAAAAACAGAAAATTGGAGAAAAATAGAAAACAGGAAAATATCTCTGTTAGTAAACAGGCCCTAAATATTTCTAATATATTTATGTTACTGACAATAATTTTTTTTGTAAGTAAAGTAGTTTCAGAATCAAAGATGGTCTAAAAATAAAATAATGCATATTGCAGGGATGAAAAACAAGAAAAATATTTTACAGGGACTTAAAACAAATTGTGTCATATTTGCATGGACTAAAAATATATTTAGGGTATGTTTGGCACAACTAGTTGAAAAGATACTTTTGTGAGTTTTTTAGTAACTGTCAGCTTTTAGTGACTGAAAAGATCTTAAAATGAAAAGGTGATAGCTGTTTGGTAAAAAGCCGACTGTTTGATTTAGTTCGGTTTGGTATACAAGCTGTTAGGACTAATTAATACTAAAAGTCACGAGCTTTTCTCAGATGCTACACCCGGTAGCATCTCAAAAAAGATCTTTTAATTTTTGAAAAGCTCTTAAAAAATGTCATGTCAAACATACAACTAAAGTCTTTTAAGGTCTTTTTAAAGAAAAGAGAAACTAGAAGGCAAAGGCTTTTGTGTGACAAAGATGACCTTAAGCCCTAAAAAAAGTTTCTTTTTTCAAAAGCTCCATCTAGGCACCTAGCTTGAGAGTACTTTGTCTGCGGGAAGACAAAGAGTTCTACATTGAAAGTACGACGAAACTTACTCGTGCCTACAGTTTGAACAACGATTTTGACGATTATTCCCATCCCCTTTATAAAACCCTAGAAAAGCCCGCGGAAAGTCTGTCTTCAGAAATAATATCTCGATCCACAAGCTCAGGCCACAAGTGTCAAGAAATTATGTTCCTTTACCTCAGGTTAAAAATCAAAATACTGAGTTGCATACTGTGTTATTAGTTATATATTACTTACTGTGAGTGCGGATGCTTATGCGTGATTCGTGAGGATAGGGAGAAAGAGGCCTGTGTTGACGACTTTGATGTTTGTTATGTGTTTGGAAGAAATTTAATCCCCGTTTTTCTTGAAATTTGCTCCTGTAATTGTTGCCTCTTTCACTGTGGCCACAGGAGGTTCAGTGATCGCGATCTTAGCGATAAAGTACAGGACCTTAAATGGGCTGTTGGTAAGAGGGAAGTGAATTGCAGGGATTTAGTTGACGAAATTTTCTGGGTTGACTGTAACTGAAGAAATCTTTTTGTGTACAAGTGAATATTGAGTTCGTTTTGAAGCTTTTTATTCAATCTTTAAAATTTTAGTTTGAGGGAGCGATATACTCATATACACAGTGTTGTCAATTATAATGGATGAAGCTTCGAATGCTTTGCCTCCCTTCCTTGCCAAGACTTATGAAATGGTGGATAACTCCTCAACCAACCCCATCGTCTCTTGGAGTCAGAACAACAAAAGTTTCATTGTTTGGAACCCGCCAGAATTTTCCAGAGATCTCTTGCCCAGATACTTCAAGCATAACAACTTCTCCAGCTTTATCAGACAGCTGAATACTTACGTCAGTATTCTTTTTTTTTTTTATCTTCAATTTCTGGTTTTGGGTTTTTATTAACCAAGTTGATTGGCACTATAATACTGACCTCTACTAGTTATGATGATGATGATGACTGTTAACCTCTCATGTCTACTTTCTGTTGTGTAGGGGTTCAGGAAAGTTGATCCTGAGCAATGGGAATTTGCAAATGATGACTTTGTTAGAGATCAGCCTCAACTTATGAAGAACATCCACAGACGAAAACCAGTTCATAGTCACTCTACACTTAATCTTCAGGCCTCATCTCCATTGAATGAATCAGAAAGACAAGGGTACAAGGATGATATCACAAAGCTAAATCGCGAAAAAGAGTCCATTCAATTGGAACTTCAAAGACATAAGCAGGAAAACCAAGGATTTGAGTTGCAAATGCGCGGGTTGACTGAACAATTACAGCATGTGGAACAGGGACAAAGGAGTATGCTATCCTCCTTAGCTGAATTGCTGGATAAACCAGAGCTGACGCTAAGTCTGGTTCCCCAAATGGGATTGCCTTATAGAAAGAGACGGCTTCCAGGAAACAGTTATCTTTATGCAGAAAGTGTCATCGACGGAAATCGACCAATGGAAGACATCATCCAAAATACTATTCCTAACTTTAACAAGGAGTTGTTAGATCAATTAGAGTCATCTTTGATATTCTGGGAAAATCTGTTTCAAGATGTTGGTCAAATAGTTCAGGTCCATGAGAGTTCAGGAACTGAGTTGGATGAATCTACCAGTTGTTGTGCAGATAGCCCCGCCATATCATACACACAGCTTGGTGATGGGGGACCCAAGACTTCAGGAATTGATATGAATGCAGTGCCAAATAGGAACCTGGTTTCGGAGGTGGGCCCACACCAAGATCCTGACACAGTACAAGAGGTTGCTCCTAACACTCCCAAAAGAGTAAATGACTTGTTCTGGGAACAATTCCTGACAGAGAATCCCGGGTCAACTGATGCACCAGAGGTGCAGTCACAAAGGAAAGATCTTGATGCCAAAAAAAGTGAAAATAAAGCAGCCGAGCAAGGGAAGTTCTGGTGGAATATGAGCAATGTAAATAGCCTTGCCGAACAGTTGGGGCATCTCACTCCGGCAGAGAGAACCTAAATTGGTAGGTTGTGTGATATATTCTTTTAGTGATTCTATATTTGTTTCATTTTTATACATTCTGGCTTGTATTCTAGAGAGAGATCGGTTGATTCATTAGGGAATAAATAACCACTTATGCATGCTGTGAATCTAAAGTTGCTAGCACCATATGTCTAGTTTATTAATGAGTTATGACTATGTTCTGGATTGCCATTCTTCTGCCCCTTGGCATATTTATATGATACGCGAGTATGACTTTGTATCATTATGCAAAAACAATTGATATAATAATAGGCTTTGCATTTTTTCTGCTAGATCTCTCTTAATTCGAGAATCCAGAACTTATCCCCATATTCTACGTGAGAAGGAAATACACCTGCATCCATTCAATGATGAATAGTGGGACATTGAGATGCACACTTGCATCCATTCAATGATGAATAGTGGACATTGAGAAAGATATACTGACTATTGATTTTATTGAGTCTACCTTCCTCCCAGTTAGTTTGGGACACCAAGAAAAAATAGAAGTCTTGCTTGGTATTGAATGAGCAAATTATGAATAATACTATTAGTAAAAAAGAAAGAGGCACACAATGTGTGGAACGCTGGACTACTTGGCACCAGAAATGGTGGAGAACAAAGCTCATGATTATGCAGTTGATAACCGGACTCTAGGCGTTCTCTGCTATGAGTTTCTGTATGGTATGCCTCCATTTGTGACAGAAACCCAGAAGGATACCTTTAGAAGAATTATGAAGGTTGATCTCATTAGTCGGCTTCTTGCGAAGGACTCTTAGCAAAGGCTATCCCATCATAAGATCAAGGATCATCCATGGATAACAAACAATGCAAATCCCAAGGGAGCTTGCTGGAGCTGACCAATTTGTTCTTCCTACTAAATCTTTGAGATGGCAGATCTTTTATTCAAAAACGTTATAAGAAGACATCAATAGGGAAAGAACTTCACTTGTTCCTCCTTTTGCTAGTGAAGTACTCACTATCCATATCTTATGGCACAACCAGATATGGGAAATTGTCTTCTGTAGTTTCCTTAAATGGTTCCTTGTCAAAAATTGTATTGGTATGTCTTGCACACCAGAGCATGTATTTTCTGGGTGAAATTGTTTCTTATAGGTTGGATGTATGTGCATATAAAGATTATATTTTGCAGTTTGTGCAAAACAGAGACATTTAATGTGGATGACATTATTAATGAATACCTACGCTGATAGAGAGCGGGAAGAGCATGAGGCGGGACTGGGCTTGGGCCCACTTCCGTGGGCCAGTTTAGGGTTGTTGTTATAGTCTATTTATTTTTATTAAGTTAATGTTATGATTTAGTTTGGGCCTATTATTAGTAGGGTATTTAGTAGAGTTATTATGGGCCTAATTACGAGTTATTTATTTTGGGCATAATTAGGGTTTCCTGGAAGTCTGTCATTAGTATATATTATATTATATTACTTATATTCCTTATCTACTTAATCTCTACCTATTATCTACTTATATATATTAAAGTATTATATATAAGTGTATTACTTATCTTATAGTAATAATGTAATATACTTATATATTATATACTATAAACATTATATTATATATTAGTTATACAATAATCTACTTATATACCTATATTATATTACTAATATTTATTATCTACTTAATATATACTTATTATCTACTTATACATCTCCATCTTTTTAATATTTACTTTATTGTCTATATTTATTGTTATTTACTTATATATATATTAAAGTATTATATATAAGTGTATTACTTATCTTATAGTAATATACTTATATATTATATACTACAAACATTATATTATTAGTTATACAATAATCTACTTATATACCTAGATTATACTAGTTATACAAAAAACTAGTTAGTAGTTACATTTTTCATTTCCCTATTATTTAATTTGTTAATTGTTGCATTCATCATAAAAGTAAAAAACTAGTTAATTATTAATTGTTGCATTCAAGTAAAAAAAACTAGTTAATAGTTACATTTTTCATTTCCCTATTATTTAATTTGTTAATTGTTGCATTCATCATAAAAGTAAAAAACTAGTTAATTATTAATTGATGCATTAAAGTAAAAAACTAGTTAATAGTTACATTTTTCATTTCCCTATTATTTAATTTGTTAATTGTTGCATTCATCATAAAAGTAAACAACTAGTTAATTATTAATTGTTGCATTAAAGTAAAAAAACTAGTTAATAGTTACATTTTTCATTTCCCTATTATTTAATTTGTTTTTTTTGAAGGGAAATAAGTTAATTATCATTAATTAGATCATAAAAGTAAAAAACTATTTAATTTGTTAATTGTTGCATTCATCATAAAAGTAAAAAACTAGTTAATTGTTAATTGTTGCATTAAAGTAAAAAACTAGTTAATAGTTACATTTTTCATTTCCCTATTATTTAATTTGTTAATTGTTGCATTCATCATAAAAGTAAAAAACTAGTTAATTATTAATTGTTGCATTAAAGTAAAAAACTAGTTAATAGTTACATTTTTCATTTCCCTGTTATTTAATTTGTTAATTGTTGCATTCATCATAAAAGTAAAAAACTAGTTATTTGTTAATTGTTGCATTAAAGTTTAAAACTACTTAATTTTATTAGTAAGTGGATTCTTGGAAATTTGCTATAATTTTATTAGCTGCATTTTATTATTACTATTGTACTCATATTAAAACATTTGATATCATATAATATTTGTTACATTTTAAAGATGGACTGTGGCAGACATTCCGTAGATATGAGTAATAATCTCCAACGCAACCGAAGGAAGGAGATTGCGACAAGTCATCCTAGTTTACGCAAAGGCAAAGGTAAAGGACGGGCCGAGTCTTCTTCTCAAAGTCGAGAAGATTTTGATGACGGATACCAAAGGCGAGATGGGGATGCGATGTCCGACGAGCAACTACAACAACTATTGGCGCAAAATGATGGTCGCTTTTTCCAACAACAAAACATTCCAAAGTCCATTGATGAAGAGGAGCTCGAGGATGACGATGCGGAGGAGGACGAGGGGTCGACGGGACTCACGGCACCCCGGATGATGAGCAAGAGTTGGAGGACGAGGGCGGTCCATTCCCAAGTTGGTAAGAAATCTAAATCTCCTATTATAGAAAATAATTTTACAAAGAGGAAAAACCCAACAACCGATAAATGGTACGCAAGTTCCAGTCATTGCAAGAAGGAGTATAGTTTGGGAACTTCCGGCGGATACGGGAGCCTCAAAAGGCATTTTAAGTCCGCGCACTTTGTTGAGTATGCGAAAATAGACAAAGGCAAGGGGAAGCAAACTCAAATATCGAGGTTTGCAAATGACCAACCTTTTGGCAATTTCTCATACACTGATGCACAAAATTTGACTGGTATGGCTAACTTACTTGTTGAAGAAAATTTGCCTTTTTTGTTTTCTGAAAGTCTTGCTTTTAAAGATTATGCACAAACTTTGATAGGTTATCGTGCGGAAAAGGATATGTTACAAATTGTTTTTGCAAACTTTGATGGCCGTGTAACTATTTGTTCTGACATTTGGGAGGATATTTATCATAATTTACATTATTTGGACCTGACTGCACATTTTATTGATAGTGATTGGAATTTGCATAAACGTGTTCTTGCTTTTCGTGAATTTAATGATCGTCACACCGCTGAACATAGTTATATTTTGATTGAACGTATTTTAACTGAGTATAATTTGATTGATAAGGTGTTTCTATAGGTTTTGATAATGCTACTAATAATACTGCTGCTATACCTAGATTGCGTGAATTGTGTGGTTCTAAAACTTTGATGGGTAGATTTTTTCATCAACGATGTGCATGCCATATTATAAATTTATGTGTGCAAGAGGGTCTAAAAGCGTTAGGAGATGCTATGGAGGTAGTCAAGGGGGGGATTAGACGTATTTGGAGCAATGATCAACTTAAATTAATATGGCAAAATTATTTGATTGAAAGATGTGTGAAATATGTTGCTTTTCCTAAAGATTTGTCTATTCGGTGGAATAGTACTTATAAATTAATTAAAGTTCTTCTTAGATATAAAGAACATTTTCATGCTTTTTTAAGACAATATGATAACTATATTTTAAACTCCGCTCACATCGACACTTGCGAAAAAATTTGTAATGTTTTGATATATTTTAATAATGCAACTGAAAGTTTTAGTCATGTTTATAAACCTACCTCAAACGAATTTATTTGTGAAGTTGTTAATCTCGCCGGTGCTTTTAATGAATTTGAGAATGCCGCTTACGTGAGTTATTTTTGTGGTTTTATGAAGGAAAAGTTTTTAAAATATTATGCGCATATTGATAAGCACAATAATTACTTATGTTTTACATAAGTAATTACATTTATCTGTGCAAAAATGTGAAGCGAAAACGGATAAATATTCTCGAGTTAGCGGAAACATGAAATACGACATGGAGCAACGAAAATAGGGTCAAAAGTCAAAAGGGATCGAAAACCGGCATTTCTGGACCAATTTCGGGCATCAAACGAAGAAAAGAAGTGAAGTACAAGTTTGGGCGCAGGAACCGGCGCCGGATGCCCTATAACCGGCGGCGGCCGTCGGGATTTTTTGCCCAATTCGAACTTGTTTCCAACCGGCGCAGCGCGACCGGTGCATTTTTGCACCCAACCGGCGCCGGTTGTTCCGATTTTCTGCTAAAACAGCTTGACGTGCAGAAGATTTCTGATGGGAAAAACCCATCTTCCTCCATATCTGATCAAATATTGCTTCCATACCCGATTGTTAGGCTTGAATAGACTAAAAGATGCCTTTCTTTAGCCTATATAAAGCCCTTAATTCATCAAGCAAAATCATTCCATTCCATAGATTAAATCATAGCTTTTATATTTTTGTTCTTGGTATTTTCTTCAAGTTCTTGAGGAAGAAACTTCAACCTCCGAAATCATTGGTGTTTAGGTATTATTTCCTTTGTAATTTCATGTTCCATTACATTTCAATATTGTATGTTGATTAATATGAGCATTAGAGGCTAATTTCTTAGCTAAGGCTAGGGATGAACTTCTATGCCCACTAGGTGTTTGATAAAAGTTCTAAACCAACAAATTGTGATTTATCCTTTACATTTTGATTGTTTATGACTATGGTGTACAACATAGAAGTATGTTAAATTTAGTTTATACTTGCAATTAACGTTGAAGTCTAAACTATGAACATTAAGGGATAAGCATATATATTACCGAGAATAGAAATATATCCGGTATTATATGATACGGGTGAGATGTCTTGATATTCAACGGGGTTTTCGGTAGATGAATGTAAGCCGTAACGGGACTTACACGTAACGAAAACCACGCTCTCGTTGCCTTAACCGGAGTTGAGAATAATATATTAGCGACATCGTATTCATAATTATTGGTGAAGAACTAATATTCAACCCTATTAAAGCATTTAAGTGATTCCCGAAGCCTTAGCCGTTGTTATCATTCATTTTAAATCCGAATTAATTAAAGTTGTTTCCTTGAATTAAAAGTGAAAAGCCAAAAATACAAAACACAAATCAAAATCCCTGCACTTTACTCATTTATTTATTTAAAAGTCATCTACTCTCGGACTAAATTAAACAATGTTTCCCTGTGGATTCGACCCGGTATTTTACCGGAATTTATTACTATATCGGCACTTGTACACTTTCTTCATCACTCTTTGAACATCAATCCAAGGTATTGTGGCTCAAAATTCAAATTTCCCCTAATTCCTGTTTTTTTTTTCTTTTACAATTCTTGACAAATTAGATGTTTATAAATGTTGAATGATAATTCCTTATGATCATTTGGTATACATAAACATGATTCTGGTTCAAAATTGTGAGATTAAAGTTCAAGTTTAAGGGAAATTCTTGAAAATTTTTCTCAAGAACCCTAATTTCGAATTTCTTGTTCATTGATGAATTCTTTTCTATAATTGATGCTTAGAGATATGTTGCTATGACTTGTTGTTGATATATAATCTTCTAAACATGATTATTGCAAGAATTCTTGAATGAACATGAGATTTGGGGAAATTGAAGAAATTTTCCAAATCTTACCTTGAATTGATGAACAAATGGTGTTGTGTGTATGTGTTGAACTAATTGTGCAGGTTCAATGGCTCCTAAACGACGAAATGATGCTACTTCTTCCTCTTCATCCGTACCACGTTTCACCTCCCCGGAGAATGAGGCTTGGTACGATCAA